GAGAATAATGATGATATTCTTCAGGATATGCTGAAACTCCTCTAAGCCAAAAACCAAGCACCTAGTTCTTCCCAGCCTTAAGCCTCCTAGTCTAGTATAGATCAACCAGTGACCCAGTTGGGGACCTTTTGTTTCTTTTGCTCATGTTTTTAGAATTTTTATTTCTTCTTATGTTTTGTGGTAGAATTTTATCAATCATCAATAAAATTCATTATCTTTTGCTCTAACTGTTTGTTTATATTTCTTTGATGGTTAAAATTCTTAGCTTGATTTATGATGATTAATCCATGATTGCATTTGAAGTAGCCCTAGTGGCCATGAGTAAGCTTTTAAATCTGGTTATCTCACATTTTTTTATGCAACTTTTCGATGATGCCAAAAGGGGGAAAAAGGTTGTGCTTTAAACAAGTGATGTTTACATTTTGAACAGTGATGTTTATAACCTAATGTACCTGGTCCTTGATGATAAGTGATAAAAAAAAATGTTTCTAACATTGTGTTGATGTTAAGCTATGTTGAAACAGGGCCTAAGCATATGAAAAGCACAGAGTTTATCATCATCAAAAAGGGGAAATTTGTTGGCCTAAGTAAAAATTAGTTTTGAAGACTGACAAAGGAACTCAAGCATGAACTAGGTCCATCCCTCTAAGTCTATCCTTTGTGTGCACAAAAACGGGCAGATTCGAGCATATGGAATGCACGTGAAGGAGATAAGCTTAACTTGGTGTATTTAATGTCTTCTGATCGAAAATGTTGCATAATTGATATGAAAAAGGACTCCTTAATCAAAGAGAACACTATCCAAGATAGGGAAAGAGTTAGAAGTTGAAATCAACTAGAACGCTTCCACCAAGAAAGAGTAGCATTAGAACTCTAGTTATTTCTTCATCTACTAACTCTACAAATTGCAGGATATTCTCACATTACGGTGTTGCACAAAAACGTAGAAGTTAAACGTGAATTTAGAGCAAAATAGCAAGGCTTTTTGCAAGCAGTTCGTGTGTGATTCAAGTGTGCAAACCTGAAGCTACGTGAACCAGATAGAAGAATCAGTTCCAAGTGTTTGTCTTTTATTCTAGTTCAATTATAGTATGTGTTTTCATATTGTACCTTTCAACTTTATCTAAAGGCTATTGTAATAGGTAATCAGAGTATTCAAGTTAGAGCTAACTTGAAATTATCGCAACAGTTAGAGGCCGTTTACTACAACGGGATTAGAGTTAATCCTAGGTTTAAAAAAGAGTTTTTGTAAATGCAATTTCTGGCTCAGTGATTTAGTGGAGAGTTTGGAAAAATCCTACTGGGAAGTAGGTCGTGGTTTTTTCACCTTTTGAGCTAGGTGTTTTGCACGTAAAAATACTTGTGTTCTTTAATTTCTGTATTTATTATTCCGCAACACTAGTATAAGGAATACATAGAAGAACCAAGACCTTCCATAATCAGTTTAAGCAAAAAATTGGACACCACACAAATCACCCCCTGTGTGGTATTGAAGTATAAAACATCAACTGCCAACAAAATACTACATTAGTTAAACGACAATTATTATTTCTTATTTAACCAACCAAATACCTTATTATCTTATATTGAATTTTATGATGGGATTAATTGTTTCAATACAATCAACAAATGACCCCTTAATATAACACATAATGAGTTCGGAGTGAGCAATTTAAGTTGCAACACGTATGTTAAAGCAAAAAATAACTCAATCAAAATAAGATGATAAAATACACTGTTTCCAGATTACTTGAAAATCACCTACATATATTGCTTATAAAATGAATAGAATATGGATCTTTGAGAATAGTAACTAATATAGCAATAATTAAAGCTAGAGAAGTATTTTAGCCATAATTAACAAGTCCAAGAGCACCAGCAAAAGAGAGTGGGCACAGCAGGGGAATCCATGCAACTGGCAGTGGCACTTAAACCGTGTCTGTTAAAACATTCATTCCAGCATAGAATCCCCGGCTGCGACCGATGGTTTCCTTCGCACGTCGTTTCCACCCATGGCAGTCCTTCGTTACATGTTTTTGCCTCAACCCCTATCTCATGAACTGCTCGCATCAACAAATTTGCGAATGTTAAATCATTGTTATACACAGGGCTATTCAAACCGAACTGGAAAACCGCACCAAACCAAAAACCAAACCAAACCGATTAAAAAATCCGACTAAATTTGGTTTTATTTGGTTTGGTATTGAGTAAAAAAAACTCGAACCAAACCGTCATATAAATATATACATTTTATTTATATTTTTAAGACTTTATAGTGAATTCTCTTTAGAAAATGTAGGGATATTTGAGATCCTCTCATGTATTAACCTTGAAAGCATAAATTAACGAAAAATTATTGTTAGACGACTAAGAAAATAACTATCATGTGTTACTAAAAAAATTCTCCCATTAGAATATATTAATAGATCATATGTTTGTCACTTTTTTCCATATTTACTAAACATATAATCACTTATCAAAGCCTTATCTATAATTTTAACAAAATAAAATTGAAATAATATTCATGTAACAAAAAAACCCGACAAAACCACACCAATCCAAATCGATATAGTTGGTTTGGTTCGATTTTAATAAAACCGAACCAACCCGGTCCATGTACACCCCTACTTATACATATACAATTTCTAACAATAAAACAAAATTGGTGCAAAAAGAATGTCGCTTTATATCCAATGTTGATCAAATTAAGGGTAGAATATTGGAAAAAATGTCTTGTACGAGTAGTAAGAACGGAACTGGAAAAAGAAAGTTAATACCTTCTTGATTTAAAAATAACAAAAAATTATTTCGATCTTTTTTTTAAATCTAAAACAGACAATGGCATATCTACGTTATTATGGGTGCTTAAGTAACCATTACTTTTGGAGACTAACACTATTACTCATATTTAAAAAAAAAAAACGGGTATTTTATTTAGATATATGTAATGAGCACCCAGTTTAAATAGCAATTTTCAAATTAAAAATAGTTGAGCGCCCATGCTTTAAAAATTCTGGATCCGCGATCGCCAAAACATCATAATTGTAACTTGTAAGGCCTCTTTTTATTAAAATAAAGAAAGCCGAAACCAGCAATAATTATAAAAAAAATTGCAAAAGCTATATCTCTATTTTTTGGGTGTAGTACCATTCTTGATATTATTCTCTAGACACAAATTATAAATCCATGGCATGGAAAGCGAAAAAAGGAGCAAATTAATTAAAGGAAAAGAACATCAAGTTTGGCCATAACTTAATCTATTACTGGTTAATTGGAGTTTAAGTGATTGAAAGTAAATACCTGAGAGAAGGAACACGATGAATAAGACGACATGAAGGGGTTTTGAGATGCTAGGTTTGGCCATTGTCTAATGTGTTGAGGTTATGAAAGGGTGTTTAACAACAGTTCTTCCTCTTAATTTATGGTGGAGGGTTCAGAACATTTATGGAAATTAATATAAGCTCTATACTTATTGTGTCTCTGAGGACTGAGATAGTGAATCTTATTTGCAGATCTTCAGCTTAATTTTTCTCCTTTTTTTTTTTTATGGTATATCATTTACTTTTTTTGACGATTTCACTATTTTCCTTACACGCCTCCTATAATTTGTTAGCATAATAGCACTTCTGTTGCATTAGTTTTTGATAAAATTTACTTTGGCCCTTTCGATGTCGTTAAAATATGGTAACCTGTACCAAGAGATATATTGATTAATTGTAATATTGCGTATACGTAAGATACGAACATATATTTAGACATATTCTGCATTAATTGCAAAAATTACGTATCAATAATTTAGGATCTATATTAATGGTAGGATACTACAAAAAGGGGCAAGGGCGAACCCAATAGCTTTTTCTTAAACTATGTATTTGTATTAGATAATTTATTAAATATGTAAAGATATTTAATTACGAATCCAATAACTAAAACGAGTTAGGATTAGTGATAAGATCATAACTCATAACCTTCAAATTCTGGCTCCGCCTATGCAAAAGGTGTCATGACCCGATTTAGGATTGTGAGCGGCGCTTAGGAGCAAGTGGTCTCAAGTAAGCCTCATCGGTAATTTTACAGAAAATCGGACAGAGTTTCCCCTGTTTTTGGACCATCCCAAAAATTTTCCTGTCTCAAATCAACAACCAAACATCTTAATATCATACCAAACTATCGACAACTTGTCAATTAACCAATACAAGTCTCCACCATAACTAAACCACCAACTAACCACTATAAATACTAATTTATCTCAAACTTTGATAAATGAGAACGATACTCAACATAAGACTATAATAACAAAAGAATACTGATGACACTAAAATACTAACTATGGAGCGACTCTAAGAGTCCAATGAAAAGACCATAACAATAAATAAAATCTCTGCCCACGCGAACAAGTGCGAGGCTCACCGAGAATATCAACTTGTGCGATCTAATTAACGAAATCCTCGCCTGCGTCAACTGTTTTCTTTGTCAAAAAAATTAACGGGGAATGAGTCGCTAGCTCAGTGAGTAATAACACTTAACCACAACCATTTTTATTGGGGTCAAGTCAGAAAACATGCTAGTATCTCAAACAGATAACATCAAAATGCCCTTTCAGAAACAATAAATAATTTTCAGTCTCGTTATGCTTTTCTTGTAATATAATAAAATTAACAGTTCAGTAATAAGTTCGGTAACCACTGTATAATATCAATATTCACATTTGGGAGGTTTCAATGAACGAATCATGTAATCGGTATAACTGTGGACTTCTTCGCAAGAAGTCAAATATAATGGTAGTCCCTACTCGAGGGAAGTCGGTAACGGTATGCTAGTTCTACCTTCCCATTAGCGAGGGCTATAACGGTAATCTGTAATTACAAGGTGCACCACACTACAATAAAAAGATACTTTTGGCGGCAATTATTTAGCGACAATAAGCTATTTGCCGCTAATTTATTCTATAAACACAATATTTGCGGTAATTTAACTTTCACTAGGAAAGAGTGCTTCTTTACTGGCAATTCAAAGTAATGGCCAGAAAAAGTTAGTCCTGACAATTAAACGCCAATTTTCATCTTCCCTCTAATTTTTTTCATGTGAAATATTCCCGCCTGGATACATTCACCCCTAAATTGCAAAACAATCATCTCTAAAATTGAGTAGACCTCTCTCTATCTCTCTCTCCCTCACACGAATGTCGGCAGCTAACTCATCTCGCACCATCGCCGGCCACCACCACCAGGTAATGTCTCTCCACTATTTCTCTATGTCTATCTTTTTTTCATTGTGGATGGCTCTCTCTTTCTAAAGCACAGAAATTGAAGCTTGTAAATAAGATTCTTGACTTTCTCCTATTATGATTTTGTATTTGTATTTAGTGTAGAAGAGTCTCCAATTCCCCAGGCTTTATTTAGGTCTATATATCGATTAGATAAATGAGTTCTAAATATAGATTCAATCGGTCATTAAGCACTAGAGTTTCATAAATAGTCAAAATTAACTGCTCTTTTGTTCTCTGTGCACTTTCTATCTTGTCTGCTTCTTCTTCATACTTTGGTAAAGCTTATTAATTTTATTTTTTCCTTTTGTCCGGCATCCTCTACTATAAGGATGTATATTGACTTTTTAAACTTGAACTTTATCCATAATTTTGATGCAACAACTAAAAAAAGTGAAATACAACGTGTAATTCGGTTGATTTAGTCTTGTGAAAAATGAAGATTTCATTTGATAATTGGATTTGCAACATGGTGATATCACTGAAAATATAAAAACAGGCCCTCTAGACACAAATTCAAGCGTACTTTTTAATTTCTTGGTGTGAGTATAGCTTAATTACCAATAATTTTCTTAATAATGGTGGGTAGAATCTTGTTGTCTTAGTCTTGTGGATCTTATCCACAATTTTTGAAGGTAAAAATCGAAAATATTTTTTCTAAATGCTTAAAAAAGAGAGTATTACCCGTACTTTTGCGATGTTCTGTCTTCCATTATCCATATTATTAGTATTTGGTGTGGATATTGTTATAGTGTATTGTGATAGTTTAGTATCCATATAATTCATATTTGCAGTACTTTGTATAGTAGAAGCTCGCAGAGCATCACCATCTTGAACAACTACATCAGTTTCTAGTAGTTCTGCTAGTGTAAAAAGAATGGGTCGATACACTAGTATAGAAGTCGATTAACATTATCCGTATAAAGATTCAACTGGTCTATTTATGCAGAGAAAATTACTGCTCCCAAGCTATTTTATATGAATATTCAATTTGATGAATTTGAACGAGGCTTCTTCATTTGTAACTATCTAAGAGTTGTCCGTTCACTTTATTCAAAAATGGATTAATAACGTGGTCTAGATGTTGCTCTAAATCCCTGTTAATTTTCTTTTACAACGAATTGGTAAATAGGTTTTGTTGTAAGATGAACTCCCATTTCTTTTTTACCTTTTAACTGATGCTTTTCATATATCCATAATTTCATTATTTCATGAAGGCACCACTTTATTGAGATCTGCATGTGCCAAAAGGATTGGACTCAGCCAGGATTTATTTTACATGAAATAATATTGAGTATCAAGGGACTGCATTAGCATCAGAATAACATCTTGCAATTTTGTTGCTTATCACTTGAATAGACCTGATAGGATGCATGACAATTCAGCAAATGATAGAACAAATCCTGTGAAGGTAGCAAGATTTCTGATTATAAGTTGTTGTAACTGATCCTATTGGCTCCTTTCCTTCCATGTCAACTTTTTTGATATGCAGTGGATGTGGTTCATATTTCTTGTTGCAGTGTGCAATGTGTTTTCTCACATTGTTATCACAGTTTCATCAACTTATGCTCAAGAGGGTCCGGACTGCTCAGGTATGAATTTCATTTCCCTAGGCACCTTATCTCGCCTTATGTTCTCATACATCATGCATTCATTCCTTTTTGTCTAATATTTGAGTAATAGGTCTCTCTAGTGAGACACGACAGGTTTTGTTTAAACTTACAATTAAAATAGGATTTTTGAATAATATTTTGCGGGGCCTCATCTAACCTGTTGTTGTCGATCTTCATAAAAAGAAAGATATGTTTCCAAAGAATTGAGAAATATATTTTTTTCTTTTCCTTTTTTACTATTCTTTTCTTGTCTTTGGTCTTAAAAAGGCTAAATATTCCCCTGTTGACCTCAAGGATTGATATAAAATCTAATGAATTATATAAACAAGTGATTGAAGATATCCTAATATTATAGAAGGTCCATTGATCATGTTTTTCGGTCTTCATCTGTGATTTAAGTTTCCCTTATATTTTCAAGATGGCAAAATTTTTCATTTTAAAAAAAAATAAAATCAGAAGATCTTGAAACTTATTCGTGGTACACTTGATATTTGACTCGATCAAAAAGCTTATTCGGGATTTGAAAAAGTCCAAAGATGGTTTGATAGAGTATCAAGTTCTCTTCAACATTGAGTGCATATGCATCTGAGTTCTAAGCTTCACTTCCATATTGATACATGGTGAACTAAATGGTTAGTAAATATGTTTAATTGTATCATGTAAATTGGTCACAGTTACTGGAGATGATAAATGAGAGTGGAAATATATGCTCGATAGTGGTTGAGCAATGCATAAGTGGCAGGAGGTAAAGTCATTAATGGAGAGTTTTTGTTATCTCTGTCTTTTTGTGATAAGCTAAGAAAGGATTCGATGCAGCAATTTTTTATATTGGCTTACTTCTATCTTGGTACTATGTTATTATTAATAAATTAGCTTTACTTATCAATTGTCTTTTTTTGGTAATTATGATCATCCTCCATGTGTGATGAGATTCAATCTCGTTTTGGTCTTCCATTAGAAACTTTTTCTGCTAACATCAGTAAATATGTGGTAGCTACATCTGCTACTAGACTGCAATTAGTATTTAAGAATGCAAGCTGAGATTGATGTATTTGATTAGTAGTGCTGCAGTGTATTAGATAATATTCATGTTGAAGGTTTTGAGGAAGCTTTCTTCTGATTAACATCCCTTTAATTGTTAAGGTCATGATAATAGACTTTGTCTGCAGATCATAGCATGCACAATACATTTATTATGCTGGTGTAATTTGACGGGCTTATCTGGTGCAGTATGGCTCCTTTTCCTTGTGCGTAAGAGTTATTGATCTGGAGAAATTTAGCCTATCATTTTGGTACACAAACAGATCTTCAAGCTGATGTATATTGTGAAATTTGTGTGCTGCACTTTAAGTTGTGTAGCTGGTGCAAGAATAAGTCTTCAACTGGTGTATTTAGGCTAATGTACTGGTAGATTTTAGAGTTCAGGCTAGTATAAGAATGCTTCATTTTGTAACAGATCGGGGTAGATTGAAGTCTTTGGGAAGTTTGTTGGATGAAGACTTTCATTATGAGCAAGGAATGAAGAGATACTTGTTAAATATAAAATGATATTGAATTCAAATGGTTTTTTCGTCTTCTGTTGCACTTTAAAACTATGAAATAGAAATTGTATTTGTTGTGAATTTTATGAAGTACATTATTCTTTCTAAAATGGATATGGTATTTGTATATTCTATTACAAACTTTTGTTTAAAATGAAAATTTTCCAACTACAATAAAAATCATTACGGACATAATAACTGCCAATATAACAGTAGTTTTAGTTGCCATTACATTTGCCGCTAATAGAGTTACTCTTTACTAGTAGTTAATGGTCTTTAGCAACAATAACAAAAATGTTGTTGAATGTATGAGCCACCACATTGTCTATGTAACTTTAGTTGCTATTGTAATTGCCGATAAACAATTGCTACTAAAAGCAATGGCTTTTAGCGGGATCCTTCAATGTCTGCTCCTATTTATACTTGTCTCTGTAATCCGTATATACTATTGATACCCAATTTTTTCCTGTGTATTTCTATACAAAATACTTTCAAAATAGCATGTACATGCATATATAAGCATGCCTCAAGAGTTTTGGTATTTTTCCTAATTCTTAAAGATTTTTTAAAATCAATTTATTGTCTATTTTAGCAGTACAAAATCCATAATTATTCCCAAAATCATCAATTTTGGTGAATAATTTATTTTATTCCCATCTTTATACCAAAATATAATTAAGGTGATTTTTGCATATTTTTACAAATTTATTTGGTACTTTTTATCTGCTGGCGATTCGTTAGGCTTTTACCACTGCATGCTGCTTGTGACTCTATTATCTCATTAATTGCTTTTTTTACTGTCTTTTATTCTTTCACTACGAAACTGACTTGGCTCTTCATGTCTTTTCTTTCTTTTACTGCTTTATTTCAATACTGTTGTAATTACTGCAATTATTGTAATCATTTATCTTATGAACGTGGAAATACATGTCAATTTGTTTCATTCTTGTAAACTGCATCTTCAACATCATATTCCACTCGTGCCAAACAAATACCATAGCAACGCTTATAATGAGTCGTTGCGCTCTTCCAATATTATCACCCTTTAAATTCAGCAAAGGTGTATTTGCGGTAAAACCAGTCGATCAGAGGTGCAGTCGACGGTTCCGTGCCTTTCCCTCTTGAGTTGTCCGCTCAAGGGTACCTGTCTAATACCCCGATAGAAAGCTTACTCTGTTTAACCGTGCATGCATCATGGTCAAACCTAGCCGAGTCAGTTATGTTGTCCACATAATGACTCATTAAGATAGTCTTGTCCAAAGTCCACTGAGTTTCCTTGAAACCCAAACGGACACCACCATATTCTGTACATTTATTTGGAGAACTAAATGCTTTTTATGCTGATTATTGGTATTAAATAGTCGAGTCCGGTGGGGGTGAGGTCTTAACCCTTTTGTTTTGCATAAAATGAATGACAAAGTTCCTGACTTCGGTATGGTAAACATACCTTCACTCTTGCAGAATGGAAAGAGAGAGTCACCAAGGCTAGTGAGAAGCTAGAATACCTAGAGTACAGCTTGCTGGAATTGGAAGGGAAAGTGAGGAAAAGAGTCATCGACTGTCAAAATGCTGAGGAAGGCAAAGGAGAACGTTTGGCGATAGCATTTTTACTGGAAAATCTGCGCGGGCTAGAGGACTTGATCAATGAGAACATTCAACCTGAAGAAGGCCCTTCTGGGACCAAGTAGTTAGGAGTCTTTCTTTTCGCTTTTAATATAATAAGGCCAATGGCCATTAGTGACATTTTTACTTTCCGCTATTTTAGTGTCGTTTTGGGATTCGTCTTATTTTTGTCAATAAAATGAGGCATTTAGCGTTATAAGTTCTCCAAATTAACTTGTCGCTAGGCCTACCTCGGGAACAACGAGGCACCCAAATTAGGACACGATTTATATTCTTGCATAATATGTTTAAATATTGCAACATTTTTCCTCATAATCCGCACTAACTTGTTACCTTTTTTGTTTTTCTTTTCTTTTATTATTCCCCTCCCCAAAGGTTAGTTCGTGCATTCTGGCACCATCATCATACAGTACAAGATTCAAGGGCCCTCCACCTCCTCCTTCTCCGAGTCCTATCCGGAACAAGAAGAAAGATAGAATGGGAGATTCAAGCGCCAGAAAGGAAATTGAAAGAATTGAGATTCCTCAGGGTATCCCGATTTCTAAGGAAACTGCTGCCCAACTTGAGCAGAAATTATTGAAGTTTCGAGAAGAACTGGA